CCTTCCTCCACGACGTGACCTGCCCTGCCCAAACGCGTTTCCCTCCCTTCCACCTGTTCCTGCCTTCGCGCCTCATTTCTCCTTCCTTCCCACCAAGGCCAGGTTCTCGTCTGTTCCATGGCTGATAGGGAAGTGGAGAGAAGCTCTTTCCTGGGAAGGCACCGGACCTGTCTCCTTCCCAGCTTGACTTGGGTACAGTGCATGTGCCTCGCCGCGGCTGCCACCCCGACCAACCTGCTTCCCTGTGCGCACCTCCTTCCTGCTCGCTTCTCTTGCGATGCGATGAGGCCATGAGAATGGTGAGGCGAGCACCTTCCCATGGAAGTTGTGCCTTCCTCAACAACTGTTCAACTTGTGAAAGGCGCCCCCCACTGGTTTCGAAAGCAGCCACCTGACTGACCGAACGATTCCGAGCCGTTCTGTCCGCAGTCACATGCGGCAGCAGGTACTTGCCCACCTTTTCTAGGAGAGAAGTTGCAATACTCAATGGGCAGTCGCATAGTCAGACAGGCGAGGACTTCATGTGCCTCTGGAGTACGCCATGTTGTGCCTCGTTTGATGTTCATCGATGGCTACGACATATCTGCTGTGGACGAAGTGTTCCATCCCTAAATATGCTCACCTCCATCGGCACTTCAATGGCCTGCAAAGTGTGTCATCATGTACTCTGGCTTTCCTCGGTGTTTGACATGATGCCTTTTTCTCCTTCCGCCAGCTCGTGCTTGCCCGGCTCCTTCGTATTCCTCGCCGTGCCTTCCATCCAGAGTATGAGGCTGGCAAGTGCAGTGTGCGTGCCTGCCACCTGCTCCTCCCGTGACCCGGAAGCTTCCTTCTCAGAACTTTCAAACTGCAAGGTCGAGGAACGAGGTCCCTTCTGCCTCTGCCTCTGCCCCTCGATCACCCCCCCTCTCCCACATCTATTTAAACCCCTCCTCTCTGCCGTCCTCCTCTGACTTTCTTCTCTTCCTCATCCCATCCTTCATTTCTGGCGCCCGCCCTCGTTTGTCTCTGTCTTTTCTGTCGTCTTCGTCCTTTGACGTTCGTCTTCGTCCTTTGGCGTCCTTCGTCGTCCTTTAGCGTCCTTCAGCGTCTTCGTCGACATGCGAGCCCGAGTCATCGGCGGCCTCGCGGCCTTGGGCGTTGCCCTGGCCTCAACCTGCCCTACCCTCACGCAGACCGTCTACATCCCCGTCGTTGCCCAGCCCACTTCTCTCCCTCCTACTACCATCACTATCGATGCCTACACCCCTGGCAGCTCTCAGTACACAGGCCCCAAGCCTTGGGAGTCTGGCCCCGTCATCACGTCCACTGTCTACATCGCTCCCACTCCCGACTCCTCAATCGCCAGCGTCCCCGGCAACGTCGATGGCAATCCTCCTGCTACCATCCTCCCTGGCGGCCAAGTTACCCCCGGCGCTCCAGGAGGCAATGGTCAAGGAATAACGACAGTCTACACGTTCCCTGCTGGACAGACTCCTCCTTCTTTCCCCTGGAACCCTACGGACCCTGGCACCAACTCTGATGATGGCGTCGTTGTCTTCAGCACCACTCTGTACAACACCAGACCTGGATCGGGAGGCACTCCAACAGTCGACACTCTCGTCACCTGTTTCACCGTCACCTTTCCCTCTGCGACGGACTCTGGCAATACCCCTGGGGCTCCCGTTGGCGGTGGCTCTGTTAGCACCGTTGTCGTTCCCACAATGGTCCCGGGCCCTGATGGCAGTCTCTCCTACTCTCTTCAGACACTTCTTTCTTCATTCCCTCCGGGCGTTGGCAATGGTGTTCCACCTGCTACTGTCGTTACCACCACCTACACTATGCCGGCAGATGCTCAGGACCCCACGGCAGGCACTCCTGTTATCGCCACCCTCACTCTCACATTCCCTCAACCTCCTGCGACTGGCGGCTCACAGCCTCCGGCATCTCCTGGAGTGCCTGGTTCTTCCCCGTCTGAGCCTGCTACCATCACTGTCATTCAGCCTCCTGGCATTCCTGGCTCTGCCCCGTCTGACCCTGCCACCGTCACTGTCATCCAGTCTCCTGGCGCCCCTGGTTCTTCGCCATCTGGCCCTGCCACGATCACTGTCATCCAGCCAAACCCTTCGTCTCCTGGCATTTCCGGACCAGCTGTTCCTGTCGGCCCTTCCACTATCACCGTCGTTCAGCCAAGCACCTCCTCTCCAGCTGGCTCAATTGTCACCGTCTTCATGACTTCTGACACTCCTCCTGGCGGCGGTGTTCCGGGCGGCCCTGGCTCCATCGTGACTCAGACTGTCCCTCCGAGCGACTCCATTCCCGGTGGCTATGGCGACTCGTCTCCTTCAGCTGGCTTTCCTTCTGCGATCACAGTCACCCTTCCAGCTGGCTCCGGCTCAGGCCCCGGCTCGGACTCTGCTTCTCAGGGTCCTGGCAATGCATCACCCGTCACTGTCACCGTCCCAGTTGTTTCTGGCGCAGATGCTGGCTCCGGCTCTCAGGATCCCGCTGGCGCAGCACCTGTGACCGTCACTGTCCCTGCTGGCTCTGCTCCCGGCAGCATTCTTGGGGGCTACAGTGACCCAGCGCAAGCAACTGCTTCTCCTGGTCCTTTCGGCTCTCCTTCTGTGGTCACCTTGTGGCCCACTGCCCAGACCGATGCGGCCGTACCTGCTGCTCCAACTGACGCTGCCACTGACGCTGCCACTACCGTTGGCTCTACTCAGCCTGGCGCAGCGAGCACCAGCTCTTGCACGTCGACCCTCACACCGCAGCCCGCGCCGACGGTGGTCAGCTCCGCAGAACCCAGCTCGACAGAGACCAGCTCTTCTCTGCTCACAAGCACACTGGTCAACGTCATTTCGGAAGCCACGACCACCTACTCTTTCCCGTTCGAGTCCCTGGTCACCTCCATCTCAGTCATCACTGTGAGCCCGGCAGACCCCGGCAACGCCGCGGGTGGCAGCCCTCCCAGTGCCAGTGCCAGTGCCAGTGCCAGCGCCAGCGTCATCGTGAGTGCAAGCACCGTTGCCAGCACCGTTGCCAGCACCGTGGTTGCCAGTGGCGGCAGCGTCCAGAGCTCGCTGGTGCTCAGCACTCTGGTTCAGGTAATTACAACCACGCCAACCGCAACGGCAGCTGCCCTCGAACGTCGCGCCTTCCTGAACGCAACTGCCCCCATTTCGGCTGCGACCCCCATGTGCACGGGAACCACTGAGGTTGGGACGCTCTCCTTGGACGTAAGTTTCTTCCTTGTCTCCTTCGTCGTCCGGCGTCGTCCTTCATCGTCTGGCGGCGTCTTTGCCGTCATTGTCGTCCGGCGTCCTCGGCCATTGCTGACAAGACTTGCAGTTCGATGACCTCTCGGTTGGCCCCGTCTACAACCCCTACCACCGCTTCTGGTTCTCGAAGGGTTTCCTGGTCGGTCCTCCCCCCTCGGACCCGTACCTGCCCTCCTCTGGCGGCCGCCTTGTCGAGTTCGTGCCTCCCATGATCTCCAACTCCAACACATCTGGGTTCTCTGGCGACACTGCCCAGATTGGCATGGGTAAGACGGCATCATCTCCGTGCTTCCAGTTCGACTTCTACGGCATCAATCTCGGCTGCGACTCTCGCATCACCGGCCAGCTCTGCGAGTTCACGTTCACGGGCTACCAGTGGAACGCTACACAGAGCAATGAGACGGAGTTCGCCAGCCAGACTGCCTGGGTGCCTTCCTGCCCTGCGATGAAGGAGTGCCCTCTCACCGTTTTCAAGGCCACTGGCTTCTCTGGTCTGAGCTCCATCACCGTCACACTTCGCGTGGATGGCGAACCTCGCACCTGGTGGGCTGACGACCTCCTTGTCGGCTGGAGCAAGAACGACTGCGAGTCAGCTACCTGTCGCCAGCAGACTGGGGTGGACGCTGTCACCATTGACAATGGCCCCGTCTGGTACTGGACCTCGTTGGGCATGAGGCTGTTGAAGACGTCTCGGGTCAGCAAGCACCTTTGATCTCGCGGGAGGATGATACGACTGTGTAGTGATGATGTGAAGGATTTCTTGGGAGACTCGCGAAAGTCGGAACATGAGAAAGGAGGAAATGGGCCAAATGCACCTACCTGATGTATGTTACTAGCATGTCAAATGAATTGTTTTGGAGGTCCATTGCTTCTGCTGTCTCTTTTCTCTTTTCTTCTTCGTCGTCGTCGACCTGCTTCGTCGTCCTGCTTCGTCGTCCTGCTTCATCGTCCTGCTTCATCGTCCTGCATGGTCGTCCTGCATCGTCGTCCTGCATCGTCGTCCTGCATCGTCTTCATTTCTCGCCGTACTACTGGGTCTTCCTTACCTGATATTCCTGCTCCAGTGCCTCGCCGTTCTGCCTTGATTCACGTCGGCTGGCATCCTTTCCAATCGTCTCAACTCAATTGTAACTTGTCATGCTGATGGTCTGGAGCTTCGCTCCGCCAGGATCTTTCTCGAATGTCTTTGCTGACCCGTATGTTTCAACATCATATCATGGCTTCCTTTCCAACAACATTGACGATGGAATCGTCAGAAGGGCGAGGAAGCTGGAGGGCAGGGGGTGGGGGACGCAACTCATCATCTCTACGTGAAATCGCAGCCATAGACTTCAAACTACAATGGTGTGCTAGCAAACGAGGAACGAGGCCTCTGAGCCTTCTTTATGGGGCATCAGTAGCTGAAGTTCAACGTGGAATCGCAGAATCATGGCCTTGCATGTGAAACGCAGGCTTTGTGGAGGTACCGGGGTCACCAGTGTCTTGTACGAAGCAAACGATAAAATGAGGTCGCCTACTGGTCCTCACAGTCGTCATACTGCCCGTCATCACTAGTATTGAACAAGTGGGCTGACCAGAAAGAACCACAAATCGTGAAAACAGACAATTGACGATCTGAGCTAGCAAGCAAGTGGTATCATACAGAAGTAATCCGAACAGCAATGAAAGAACATTCCACGTTGCAATCCCTTGTCGCGAGAGATCCAGCAAAATTGTGAGCAAGCATCCCATCCGACTAATTCAATACTCCGAATCCGACTCCGCCTGAGGGTCCTCGCCATCGCTGCCCATCTCCGACTCGTTGTACTCAATTTCGTCGTCGTCAGCATCGCTGTCTGCGTTCTCATTTTCGCCCATGTAGTCCAGACCAAAATCATCCAGAGGCTGATCATCTGCATCCTGCTGAACCTTCTGGCGACTAATGGGGACGAAGAGCTTGTCATGCTTCTCCGTATCAGTCTTGCGGAAGAAAGGGTGGGTAGCCTGAAGAGGCTTTCCTTGGGCGATGAACCCCATAGGGGTGGAGACAAAGTCCTGACCACGGCGTCGAGCAGCAAGCCATTCTTGGCAAAATGTCAACGGACGAGGCGTCAGACCAGTCTTGGCTGGCTTGGCCGACGGCTTAGATTCGACTGCTCCGTCACGCTGTGCCCTCTCCAGGTCTTCATCAGAAGACTCTTCCAAGTGCTCGGAAAGAGAAGTCTCATCAATACCGAGAAGGCGGCATATCTCTGCATACTCGTCCCACTCAAAGTAGAGCCGTCCGGCGTATAATCCCAACTCAACCCTCAACCACATTGGCGCTTCCCAGTCGTTAGCAAGAGGCGGGATGCTGAGATAGTCAAGTTTGCTGAAATGAAGCATCTTGCGGGTGACGGGAGCCGAGTATAGAATGAGATGTGTCACATGCTTGGGGCCCTTGTTTCTGATAAGAGGCAGAAGCATCTCGGCTTCCTCGGGGACAACGACGAGAGCGACGCCAGTGACATCGCTCCAAAGAATCCAATTGACATTGCGCTGTAAATCACTTGTCAGAACTGCCGTCAACATGAAAGATTTGCGTAATGCACCTACCAGGAAATTGTCATTCGTCAAGTCAAAGGTGAGCTTGATTGTTCGCTCGAATTCTGTGGAAACGAACAACCGTGCCTGTGTTGATCGATCGGCGACCTTGAACTTTTTGCCGGTACCCGTCTTTGCCAGCGACTTGAGAACTGGCACGAAGCTCTGAGATCCAGCGGGAACTCTTCCGTTCAATGCGAACGACTCAATATCTTGAGCAAGGCCCGGGAACGACAGCGCTGGGTAGTGCAGGGGCTTTTTGACTTGGCGAACAGTCTCCACCTCGAATGCCACTTCTCGCTCTTGCTCGACCTCTTGCAGAGCTGAAGCATGAACAGCCCGACCCGTATCTTGGAATGCTTTGCGTCTCGTATTGAGCTCCTTGACAAAAGATCTGATCTTCAGGTTCGAACCAGCTCGGAACTCGCCAGTGCCCTTCACCTTTCGCTTGGGCTCGTACATCTGCTGCAGGCTGAATTGCTCGTTCTGCTTGATTGTGACCAGGTAGTCTTCCCTTTGGGCCTTGTCTCGCAGGAACTCGGGATGTTCAACGGTGGCCTGCATGCGCCGACAAAAGTCGATGCCTTGGGCGTAGTACAGTGGCTGCAATTGCTCAATGCCATCGCAAGTGTTGTCCAAGAGCCAGCAGATTCTGCGCGCGGTCAGTGTGGCCCAGTGCATGTATATTCATGTACTTACACGTCGTGAGAGTCGACAGTGGCGCCAAGAGGTTTGGACTGCAAATCCAGGATGCTTTGATATACCTCAGGTGGAGCAAAGAACGTGACGGATTGGGTAGTTCCCAGCTGTCTCAGTCGCATTGCAGCTGTTGGCGATGGGTCAGCCTCTGTCCACAACCATAACATGGAGATGGGTTCCTTCACTCACCTTGAACGGTATGGTCCTTGCTCTGACCGAGGCCGAGAGTAAGTGCGCCTCGAGCACTAGGGGGAAACTTCAGGTCCGTTCCTCGAGTATGTGCCTAGAGTCATTCAGCTAAAATTCCAACATAACACATGGCCGTCAAATTACCTCGTCCAAGTACACCAAACATCTGCTTAGGTCATCTGCGTACGGTGAAGCAAGTAGCGGGGTCTTTCTGCCAGTTCTCTGAATAACCCATGGTTTGTTCTGTTCGTCAAAGAACAAAGCAGCGAAAGCCCGCTGGTCAACTTCCAGCCATTTCTTTGCAAGAGTGACATTGTCCATCTCCAGGATCTGAGCTCCTGCATCGATCAGGATATTAATGTCCCGTCGCCTGAGCTCTTGCAAAAGGTCTGATTCAGTCGCTCTTTCCCCTCCGGAGCCTTCAATCTTGCGACACTCACGAGATCGCTTATGTAGAAGGTAAGTCAGGACCTCGGCGTTCGTGTGAGATAGGCCGGGAAGATCTTCCTGCTTGATCGTCAGAGGCAACATCGTACGATTGTCATTTGTGCCACTGAATCCGGTTGTCAGAGCCCTGGAAATCTCTTGGCTGTCTCCATCGTTTGAGGAGGGAGTGTCGACCGTGAATAACGGAATATCCCATCCATTGGACTGAAGCTTGACTCTGAACTGCTTAGCGTGTTGGGGAAAGACAAAGTTGTTCATGAAGTAGTCAATGGTCGTCATGTTGTACCGTACAGCCTTCCAAATCTCAACGAGCTGCAGATCGTCATCTACGTTGATGGAGTTCCATGCTTTGAGGGACTCGGGGAACGATTCGGTGGTCTGAGTCCACTTGTCATACTCAGCCGATGGATCATCGGACTTGAGAAGGTGCTCCAACGACTGGGTGAGCTGCGAGACACTGATACCGTCGTAGTAGAAAGCCAGGCATGTAAACAGAATAGCAACATCTGGATGTCCCCACTCAGACTGCTCGCTAGGAACACCCTTCGCATGATATGGCACAGCGATGGGGTCTCGCAGAGGGTGTAGACCGTACTGAACGTTCCATCGCTTCTTCAGAGTCATCATCAATATCCGATTCGCCAGAATTCCCCGTAAAAGATAGACTGTCTGGCGAACGGCGGGCCGATCCGGACAGAGTTGACGAATGCGCTGCAGAGTGACGTCCCGGGGCTTGCCTGTTAGAAACTCCCGAATCGCAAGACGGTCGGCAGCTTCTAGACTTTGGATCGGGAGGATACCATCAGTACCTCTCAACACGTCAGCGGTGAGGCCGCGAATGAGTTCTTCCTCGACATCTGACCGGAGGAAGAACAGCAGAGGAAAGCCACCACCAGGCCGTCGAACTACCTCCATCGAGTTGGGGAACGCACTCGTCAGTCCGTAAGAATGCCGATCAACAAGTCGTAGAATAGCTTGAGTGACCTGCCATCGTGAGGGATGGCCATCCACAGTAGTTTGCGAACCAGAGGGGTAGATGAGCTGTGTTCGTACAGCCAATGTGTGATCGGACTCATCGAGAATGTCACGGCACCGAGTGCGAAGCCATGATTGAACGTTGATCATGGGACCAGCTTCCGGAACTCTGTTGTCAAGAAGACGCTGCAATCCACTCAACATGAATGAGAGGTTGTGTTCGGGTTGGCATACCATCACTCCTGCTTCCTTCATCATAGTTCGGTGGACTTTGTGGTACGCCCGAATGATATGCTCCTCGGTGGGTGTTCGTCGGGAAAACGGAAGGTGGCGCACTTGACGGTCAAGCAGTCCACCTAGGCGACCTTGAAGTAATTGTGAGGTCTGAAGGAGCAAAGCTTTTGGTACAACCACTCTGACGAGGTTCTGTCGATTGGCGAGCGTTGCGGCAACCATTGGAATAATGCAGGATGTCTTGCCTGAGATACAGTCAGTATGCCACTCAGCGACAGATGGAAAGAAGACGTAGATAATCAGTCAACTTACCTTGACCCATGTTCATTTGAAGAACGGAATTGTTTCCTGAGGCGGGAGAGATTGTAGCCAGTGCTACATCGACCTGATCGGGGCGGATGAGAAGGTTCGCTTCAATCTCCAAGAGCAGCCAATCTGGGTGGTCGCAAGGCTGCCAGTTGGAATGTCCCTGGTTGCTCATCTCATCTTTGTACCGTCCAGCATCACCTCGACGAACAAAATCATTGATTCTGAGGTCTCTTTGCGTATTCGTAATTGCCAGGCCAAAGTCAATCAACGTCTCTTTCGCATATTTACCGAACGTGATGGGCTGCGCGGTTGATCTCAGCTGCTCCAACAGTGTAACGTGAGTGACTGCAGGCCACAACTGTCCAGCCTGGAGCCAAAACAGCTGTTGGGACGAATGAGTATCATCGGGCTTCTCAAGAGCCTGTCGAATCTTCTCGAATCGGCGCTGAATAGACATTAGCGATAAGGACGCCTCCCTTGCCACAAAGGCAGTTGGCTCGTTATTTTTCGAGTCTTTGGGTTGTTTCCTAGTCACAAAGGCATCCAGACTCCTCTGCAAATCCTCTCCGTACTTTTGGCGGACCATCGAGGGGGACTTAGAAAACGAGGCGACCATTTGCTTGAGCTCAGCTGTCGAGTCACTAGAAGGAATAAGCGCAGTCTTTGAAGACATCCAGCTGGGGGCGAGGACATTCGTTCCGGTGCTTCGGACGTTGGGGGACGGCAAGGTGATGGGTTTCCGAATGTGGGCTGGATGGCGGGCCTCGTTCACAGCAGTTGTTGTCTTGGTTGCAACTTTGGCGGGCTGGCTGTTAGGCTTTCTTGACTCTGTATCGATGCTTTGCAAGGTTGGGAACGTCTTTTGCAGCAGATCTGTTCTCAATCGCAAGATCTCGCCGCCTCGGAGACGCTCTTCGAAGAGCTCCTCGGAAGCAATGAAGACTGGAGCCTCGTACTCGACATCGGACTGTTTGCGGTCCAACACGCTTTGTACAGCATCGAGATGAATAGAAAGATCCATGTTTTGGTAGAGTCGCTTCCATTCAACCCTGACAAGTTTCAATGCAGCTCCCACATCGACAAGCAGAGATTTATCAAGTTCCGCAACCCCTGGCTCTTCGCACGGCCATTGAGACAGCAAGAAATTTGCCAAGTACTTGCAATCCTCATCTGATCGTCGCTCCCAGGCGTCTCTCTGTTCTCTCATCTTGCGTAACTGCTTCGCACTGGCAAATTGCTGCAACTCTTCCCCGTCATCTTTTGGCGGTGGCATCTTGTGAAGCGCAATGATGCGCATCAACTGTTCCAGCTGAGGCAGCTGGTTCGGTCTGAAGTTCTCGTACCTTTCCCACATAGGAAGCTCGATGACTTTGAGTTCGTCAAACATAGCAAAGGCAGCTAATGTTTTGATCAAACACATATCCACCTTGAAGCTGAAGGCAATCGGCGCCAGAACAAACATCAAAGCAAACGGGCTTTGTTGCTCTCGGCATGCCTTGACAAGAGACCCCCAGTTCTCCAAAACGTCAACTCCCAGACGATCAGTCAGAGACACCCTGTCATAAGCCTCTCTAAACCCTCCAACACTACTACCCATAGACAACTGAATGGCCAGAGATGATGTTGTCGAAAGCTGCTCCGGCCAGGATCGAATGAGGTGAGCAATCTCTAGGGTTTGGCAGTGCCGGGTATTGGAGGGCAAAGGACAGTCCCGAGATCGATACCTTTGGTCAGAGATGCCAAGTGGCTCAGTCCTGTCATCGAAACATCGCTCAAAGACTTGTCTCCGTGATTCGGCCCTATGCCGTAGATGGTCATCTCCAGGCGCAGGTAATGCGGCAAGGCTAGTATCCGAGGTGAGAAGCGAGAAGGTATGAAGCTCGTCGGATACAGACAAGATCCTTTCAACAAGAGGTCTGAATCTCTCATGCTGAATACTCTCAGTAGCACTATCGTCCCACATGTCCGTCTTCATCACTCGGAGATCTTCCGGATAGTACTCATGACGAGGGCTCAGGTGAGCGATCTTTGCAAGCAGGTTGACGTGGGCAGATCCTAGAACCTGCCATGGCTGACAGACCCCGGAAGACAACCACTGAAGGGCTTCCTCTGTGCCCGTTCTTCCAGTGAGGGGATCAGGGAAAACGGAAGACGTGTAGGCATGCAGCAAGGCTTTCATGTAGAGTAGCATTGGCTCCGCCGCGCAATCCAATCTTCCCAAGGACTTGTTGATGTTGAACCGCCCGTACATATCGGTAGGGTGTGTACAAGCGATCATGATGTCTTTTCCTTCGATTCGCTTGGCTTCGAATGGTCCCACAGGAACCAGAATGCTTCTTTGTGAGGGATCACGCGGGTTCCGGAAGACAAGCTTGCTACTGAGCCCGTACCACGTTCCCGCGTCCTGATCCAGATCGATCTCGGAACCAAGCTGGGGTGATTGGAGGACCTGACGAGGGTTGACATAGAAAAGAAGCTGAAGTCTTCTGATCTCCACTTCCAAATGTCTTGAAGCTGGCTGATACACCAAAATCTGGCCTTTGTGCTCAAACCCATCAAAAATTCTGCCCACACGGTTGAACAGAGGGCTGTAGGTATCGACAATTTTGTCGTATCCTGCTGCTCCTCGGGATCTTTGACAGACTCCGCGATGCACATCGAGCGTCCAATTCCTAAGGTGGATGTTCCAGATGTCGGTAGTGTGAGTGATGAACACTTTTCCGCTTTTCAAATCACTAACATATCATTAGCAAGATAGATTAAAAGAGGAAGAGGGGGAGAGACCTACAGCCAATGCCAGCAGTCGTCCAACAGCGGTCCTGGAAGATCCCACGATGTCTCTGTCCGGAAAACTTCTCTTGGAATGAGTTGGAGATATTGATTGCCTTTGGTGGCGCGGACAATCATGTTTCCGGCTTCAAATCCCACGTCGACACGATAATTTCGGGGTGTGAGGCACAGCGTGTAGTCCATTCCCTTTTGGGTAGACGGGAACGTTAGTAGGGCTTGATCACCGAAGAGCTCGTTCAGGACTTCTATATGCTCGGGCGCTTTGGGTAGCTTTCCAAGAGGCTTATTGTCGACCAGAAGAAGCCCTTGCACGTAGTTGTAGTGAACTTGAACAAGGTTGCCTTCTTCGTTCTCTTGGATGTCGCACGCGACCCATGAGGGCTGCTGTGAGCACAGGTTGTAGATCTGCCGGGGGCGATCTTCGGGCTCGGGCCAGACAGCTCGAATAGCCAACCGAAAGACGTCTGGGCTTTGGATGATGGAGGCGCACACCAAAGATGCGAGACGATATGACAGTTTCAAGTCAGAGACAACAGCATGCTGGAGTACCTGGGGCAGGGCGCCGACTTCCACCACCAGGTTGTCTTGCACGGTAATGCAGCACTCGATGTATGCTTGGAGAGAAAGCTCGTCCAAAAGGGTTGCCTGGCTGCGATGAATAACGAATGTTCTCTTGCAGAGAATCGCCGCCCACAAAGCGTACTGCTGGCATCTTCGAGCTGCTTCTGTGTCGCTTTCTTTGTATGTTTCTGCTCGCAGCATCTCCACCCAGCGCAGACAAATCTGACGTGCTCGAATGAGAGCGCTCAATGCTTTCAGCGAGGCATTGGGATTCGTGGCAGTGAGGGTATGGGTGCGCAAAAGGATGGTGATGACGACGTCCATCAGATATGTCTCGCGCCAATTGGCCTCCAAGCTGTCCAGTCGAATGATGAGCTGCTCCACAAGACGATCGCAGAATTGCTCCTCGCGAAATATTTTGTGGACTTTCCGCAGGACATCTCTTTCACGTTCGCCGCCGCTGTCATTGCCGCTGATGCCGTCGTCATCGGCTGGTCCGCTCTGACACACAAGGTTGGAAACCACCAGCAGAGTGACCTCGCTGGAGAAGTTCAAGTTCGTGGATCCGAGTTCGGTCAAGAGAGCAAGCCAGCGCTGTGCCTTCCCGGACATCAGGGTTTGCATCGCCAGGTATTCATGAACGTTGACGCCAGCGGGGCAGCTACATTGGCTGGCCATGATCTCGTAGGAGGATGGTCCGGGGGCACCAGGGGCGAAAGACCTCTGCTCAAACAGTTTGCTGAAAGGCGAGGACTTTGGGAGTGTCAGAGCCACGTGGTGCGCAAAGGTGGGACGAAATTTGAGTCTTCCGGGCCAAGTGCATGTTCCTTCGTCGAACATTCCCAGCTTCATCCCATTTGGACGGCAGACGCCCTCGCGGCCTCCTTGCCACTCAACTGGAAATGGGACTGAGGTGTAGTGGGTGGTAATGACTGACGACAATTAGGTTAGCATGGCGACTTCATTATTAGGCCCGGCCTCTGGCGCAATCACAGCAGAACATCACTTGGGGGTGAACCATTGGCGGTGGCATTGACAGTGGGGAGGAACTTACATGGCTTGGTGGTAGATGCTAGGCCAACCTTGCTCCGGTTTGGCTCAAAGAACGGCTTCAGCTGCAGATTGTCCTTGAGTAAACAACGAGGTGGGTTTCCTTCGTCATTGAACGGTGCGGCTAGTTGCCGGAGAATCCACCAAGTTGTTTCGCGGTACACTGCAAACTCCTTCGGACAGGCAAGCTCAAAGACTGTTGCTCGCGTGACCACTGGGTCCGAGGGAAGCAGGTCCTCAAAGATGGCAATCCGCATTTTCTGGGCGCTCCACATCTTGGAGCATCTGGGACAATTTGGGTCGTGCTGCTCACGTCCCAAAAGATCGAAGTCATCTCTCAGGTACGAGCAAACACTGGTGTCGATCTGCCGGATTAGATCGTCGTACCTCTGGCTCTTTTTCTTCCACTCAGACTCCTTTGAAGCTCGCAAATCATCTGCCACCTCCACAATTGATTCGTGTAACTGCTTCAAGTCGCACGCGTCTGCTGACTCAGAGTAGTATCGCTCACCGAAGCATCCTGGAGATGGGTCTTCGAATATGTTCCGACGTTCACTATTTGCGCGTTTGACGCGGGCTGAAAGAAGGAGCTGGAGCGTGTTCAGCCGAGCCATGTCGGTATACTGAGGCAGAAGAAGAACATCGAGCATCTGCGGATGTAGAACAGGGTGGAATTCCTGAAGAAGGGGAAACCAGTGACAGGCAATTGCGTCCATCCTTTGCCACATCTCCATAATGGTCAAGATCATCTGACTCTTTTGCTCGGGGTTGCCCTCGTAGAGCGGCACAGCCATGTTGGCGTAGTCCGTGATACGCTTTGCGATTTCGGAACAAGTCTCTCCGGGCATGTGGGAAAGCTCAAGCTCTCTATCAATCAGCTTGTGGTATGACTGGGCGTAGTGGCTGAGATGGTCTTTGGCGGCTTCCGCAAGACCTTCATTGGGCCTTGTCTGCTGCCTTCGTCGATGGCGAGGCATCTTGAATCGTTCCAAGGCGTTATGGAGATGAGCACGGCTGATCCGAAGGCTCAAACGAAGATCGGCATCCGCGGCCTTCCGCGGTAGCAGTGGAATGTGTTTGTGCAACGAGGCCCTCTCTTGAGCCAAAGCGACATTCAAGACCCTGTTGCAGTTTTCAATGGACTTGTTGAACTTGGGTCCAAGGAAATCGAAGAGAAAACCGTAGCGAGAGACGATGGAATCGTTGACGCAGCGCTGTTTGTCGAGGTCAAGCTTGACCAGACGTCTGCAGATCTTTTTCTTGAGGAAGTGCACTCTCTCAATGCCGATGTTGTAGCTGGGCGCTTCGTCAAGAAATTTGGACAGGACGACGGCGATGTAGAACTTGTACTCTAGGCGACCCGACTCTGCATCCAATGCCGTGGATAGATACCGCTGAATACCGACGCGAATGACCAACCACAGAGGGAGCCGACGCCAGGGTTTCTCAGCTCTGTTCCAGCATACGTCGTCCCGTACTCGCTTCCGCAAAAGGATGGGGGCAATCCTGCGGCCGTTCTCCTCGAGAATTGCCATGAGCATAGAAGTGATGATTGACGGATCGCCCGTGTTGCGGTACTCGTAGACAATGGCGCCGGCCTTGAACGTATGGGCGGCAAAGGTCTTGGTGTTCTCAAGCGAGGCCTGCTCAATGAAGCTCGCGACGCTTGTCTGGAAGTCTTCGTCGCTGAAGGTGGTGTAAGGCACCGCAACAGCGATGCCCGGGAAGTCCCAGACCAGGGCAGCCTTGGTGGCCAAGACGTCTTCGTTGCGAGGAGAGGCTTCGAAGGCCTCAAACACGACGCAATCCTTGAAGATGGGACTGCAAGGTTGTTAGCGACGTGGAAGCTGCATCTATGCATGGGGTGCAAACACTCACTCCTGGGCTCTGCGGACGATCAAGCCAGCATTCTGACTCTCGACGTGGAGAATGAGGCAACCCGAAGGATCTAGGTTCTGAAAACGACGCACCAGGCTGGACTTGTCGATTCTTCCGGCGCGATTGACTTGCTGGCAGGCGATAAGGGTCTGGCGAAGTGATTGCCAATGGCTGTGGGAGGGATTGTCTGTCTCGCTGCCGCTCATGATGCTGGCGGCGCCGATGAGGCGCTCGAGGAGAGCACCTTCGACGAGACGAAGCTGTCGATCATGTTCCTGGCGCTGTGGAAGCTGAGCGGGCAAAACCAAGTGGTTGAAAAGCGCGTCGTTGACCGCCGCCGGCTCCATCTTGGGCGTTTGCAGCCGCTCGGCTCGGGATGCTGTGGGAATCTGGAGTCGTATGCTTGTGTGTAGTGTGTTTTTTTTGGGGGGAAGGGAATGTTACAAAAGATGGGAGGCGGTTCTCAAAAAGACGTCAACACGGGAAATCGAATGGTGGTGAAGACGCGACGAGGGTCTGGGAGGAAAAGAGAAGGTGAAGGTGAAGTCGACGAAGTGTCGTGTGGAAGCTGGAAAGGCAGAGGACCCACTTTAGTCCGCTGGTGCCCTTTTCTGGGCGTGCAATGCTGTCTAGTAGGTCTTTTATTTCTGGGACGAGGCAAGAGCTGCCTGGGAGAGTGCCTGCCTTCCCGACGTGTGGTGGGTAGGTCCTTGTCTGCCTTAAGGTTGTCCAAGTCGACAAACGGCCCACCAACGGCCCTGCAGGAGGCCGACCCAACGAGAGAAAAGAGACAACAACGGAAAAGATAGCAAAGGCACCAACAGCGGCAGTAATAGAGACGACGGCGAAGAAAAGGGACGACGACGAAGAAAAGGGACGACGACCAGAAACAGCAATATCGCACAATAACTGACTTCCAACGTCTTCCTGTCTTTCGTAAGCACACGATGTTGCTCAGTTCCGTCTCATACTCCCCAAGAACGAAGGGTGGCTCCATGAGGATACCCAAACGCAATACCAATCACCTGAAATTCTAGAAATGCTACATTAGCTCCTACAAGAGGGTTCCATCACAAAATCACCGGCCATACCAGCACATGCTTCACGAGCCCTCTCAAACCTTGATCCACAACCACTTGCCATGCTTCCTCGCCCTCGCCATCCTCGCCGCGATGAGGAAACACATTCCCGCCAACATACACGCCCCGGCGTACGCCTGCGCCCCCGTATACTTGCCCCCCTCGGCCGAGATGATGGCGCCCGCGATGGGCTGTCCGATGAGCACCGCAAACGAGATGAGCGTGAAGGTCATGCCCATCCGCGTCCCCTGCTTCCTCGGGTCCGCCGTCAGCGTGCCGATGCCCGAGGGCATGAGACTCTGGATCGCCCCCGTGAAGAAGCCGTAAAAGGTCGTCCAGACGTAGAGCCCCGTGACGGAGGACACGGCCGGCCAGCAGAGCATCATGACGCCGGAGATGAACGACATGGGGATAAACATGTTGACGGTGCCGATGTAGTAGGATGCAAAGTAGGCTGGGATGAGTCGCCCGGGCACGCCGGTGCCGTTGAGGAGGAGTAGGAGGTTCAGCGAAGATGTGTAGCTGAGTCCGACGATGTCGCGGGAGTACGAGGCGATGTAATATGATGCGAAGAAAACGCCGAGGTAGTTCTGTTGCGCCAGGTTAGCATCCAAATGTCACTGCCAACAGCAGGGAAACCTACCAGCCATGATCCAAGGGCATAGAAAGTGTACTCCAACTCCTTGAACGCCGCCCACTCGACCAGACTCCCAGCCTTCCTTGGCTTGATTCTAGGTTTCAAGATGAGAGACGTGACAAGTAACGTCGCCATCTGCACCAGCGCGATCGCCCGAATAGTCCACCCAAAGCCGATCTTAGGAAGCAGCTGCCTCACCATGCTAGGGTAGATCATACCACCAGTCGAGCTACCAATCGACACAAATCCTAGGGCAAGAGCCTTCTTCTTGTCAAAGTAGGTCGATGCCGTGGAGAGACTGGGACAGAACAAAAAGCCATTGCCGAGGCCCATGCAGATACCCTGAGCGAGGAAGAACTGCCAGTACTGTGTGCAGAAGGAGGTCGTGACCATCCCTAAGACTACAAGGATGAAGCCCGCAATGAACAGGGGACGGAAATAGCCAGCGTCAGTGAGCCGGCCAGTGAACGCGCCGATGAAGAAGAGGAGGAACACCTCGAAGGAGCCGATCCAGGCGATATCGGATGGTGGGCGGGAGAGAGTAGTGGTGTAGTAGGGTTGAAAGACGCCGTATGAGTTCACGATGCCCCTGAAGATGTTAGCTCTGAGTGAAGGAAAGAAGACCCACAAGACTTACCATGTATTCATGATGACGAGATGGGTGCCGAAGACTGTCTTAAGTTAACACAAGACACTTCTAGATTGAGGTCGTCAGCTACATACTAGCAAGCCAAGCCTTTACGCCTCCATCAGGCGGCGGTCCTTCGCCGACGCTAGACGCTGTAGTCGCCCGACTCAAGACTCGGTCCACACCTCCGGATTCCGGTTCGGCCCTCGGACCCGCGGCGCCGCCGCGTGGCTCATCGGCCCCGTCATCCTCGGAGGAGGACGACAGCGACAAGAAAAACGCAGGCTCCTCCGCTTCCCCGCTGTTTTCTGCATCTTTCCCGTCTTTCTCCACCTTGCTGCCGGGGACGGCAGTCACCTGCGGAGTCTGTTTCTCGGCATCATGGTTTGGTTCCGATGACGGCGGTGAAGGGGAGACCATGGCCCCGTTAGCTGCCAAGAGCGCGTGAATGAACGGTTTTCGGTCGGGAAGCTCAAGTCTCAAGGCTTCATGGTTCCGTCAGTCTAACAAGAAAGATTTATGACTCAATTAATCATAAGAACAATTCCGCAATACACGCGATATGTCGAGTTGCTTGTAGTGTTTGATCAACATCCACCAAACAACAAAAAACAATACCCGCAGGCCACACGCGCGACCACCCATGGTTATTTAAGCGGCGCCTGAGTCATGACATGTCGACATTTCCACCGGCCATCGGCCAGGTTGGTTTCGGCCGGGGTTAGTCCCCTTCTGAGATAAACGACAGTAGTACTACGCCGGGGTCGGTGTCCCTGAGTGGGGGTAACTTTGACGCCGATGCGACGCAGAAGCGACGCTTCATGTTATTTTTCGACTTTTGCAATTTCACCCATCGGAAATCCTTGCCCGAAATTGCGCAAAGAGCAGCACGTGAGAATCCTGCTCCGGGGTTTGTCGACTTTGCGGGCCCCGCAGTCCTCTTTCAATAGCCGTTGGTGTGGTGCATCAGCAGACTGCTGCAATTGGACCGCATTGGACCGGATGCGCTCAGTTCAATAGCCGGAGGATCGGCCGGGTCCGGTTCCGGCAGATCGGCCGGGTCCGGTTCCGGCAGGTCGGGGGCCCGGCCCGCGCGGCACACACTGGCCAAGCCAAGCCCCCCAATTGAAGCCAGACCAACGGAAGACAACATCGATGATGACTAAGAAGTCTCGGCCGAGACATCTCCCAACTACCTAGGTACATCGTCGGAGTCATCCCTCGAACCTCACTTCGTCATTGCAAGGCCTGATATGCGGCCAAGCAGGACGCACAGCTCCAAAGTGGACGCCAACATCGCTAAACACCAACAGCCAAGATGAACGTTTGCCGGGATCATCACTGAGCCATGGCAGCAACCGCATCGTGACCCGACCCGTTTGTTGGCCCCCTCAGCCACCCAACAAACGTTTGACGGCGGCTGGGGCTGTATTCGGGGGCATTTGAACCTGGAAGTCAAGCATCTGGCCGCGAGGCATATTTCCAACTCCTCGTATTCCATGCATTTCTGCCACTTTAACATCCCAACCTGTTGGGTGCTTGTCGCTTCCCCTGTCCGCTAGCTTGCAGCCAGTCAGAGAGCTGCTTGCTTGCTTCTTGTGGTCGGCCTCCGACCTTGAGCTAATCTTTCATTGGCACAGATGGCACCAACATGCTTCTCGCAATGTGGCTGCTGTCGTTAGACACCACACATTAACATTGCCCCTGCACATTGGCGTGTTCAGTGACTTTTTAGACTTCGAGTCTATTGCTATCCTAGGACGCAGACCGAAGACATGCGGGGCAGTCCGCCATCATTGAGACGGCTTGCAGGCCACTTGTGATGTGATGCTATCCGTACAAAACCAACACACCTCGCACTCGGAGATCCCGTCGGCTTCATTACTCACAACAAATATCTGCACTCACTAGAGCCGCAAATTTCAACATCTATCCCAACTTACAATATGGCCACAGACCGAGGGTGAGAAGCAATCCTATTGTCAAGTCACAAGTCTCAAACGCTAAACTAACATCACCCCCATTTAGATGGCGTTCTTCTGCGACGTTCTCTCCGTCTCAACCCTGTCGATACTACATGAGGAACGGCACATGTGGTTTCGGACCTAGATGCAAGTTCTCGCATGATCGCAATGCCAAAGACTCATACCATCAAGACTGGCGATCAAATGCACAAAACAGCCATGGCGAAAATCAGCTGGACTGGAGATCCACCGCGTTCGGAGGCAACGGACGGGATAGGTATCAGCAAGGCTGGCGAACCAACAGCTCGACTGCACAGAACGGTCGGGACGAGCCCCCAGAAAATAGGTCTACCACGACGACCATCCCTTTCAGCCTCACATCAAGCAAACCATCCGAGGCTGAGCGAGATAAGCTCCAAGCATGGAGAAGGCTCCGCCCCTTGCCGTCAATCATCGAAGACCGCGACACCAGATACTACCTTCGAATGGCACATGAGTTGATTGAGCATCATACCAGCGTTGCACAAGACGTAATCAAAGAAATGGCCTCCGGCCGCAGGTTGCCTCTCATCAAAGAAACTCTCGAGCCTTTGTCCACGTCGGCGACACTCGGAGAGAAAGCTTCACTCTTGAAACACCGGATCCATCCCCTCTTTCTCATCGTCACCCACTCAAGCGTAGTGGGTTCAGTGGTTGTGGAACAAGAAGTGGCCGAAATCTACCGTATCTTCCTAGGCGTCAATGCTACCCGACTCAAACTGCTCTTCGGCTTCATCATCCACATCATTGATCATTGGGCTGAGATTAGTTGGGAAGGTGAAACAATTTCTAGTATAGAAACTATCTCGCTCAGCTGTGAGGTGCTTGCCAGGGTCATCGAAACAAGCACTTCCAATATGATCAACGAGCATGTTATATCCATCGTGAAGGATATCCAGCTGCGACTCGAAGTTTTCGGGGCGGAGGGTGATGCCTTCTACACTGTTCAAGCATCCAGGTTTCTTGAATACATTCGCCGTCGTCTTGACATCGGTCAATCTCTCCCTGATGCCTCTCACATTCCAACATCCACGGGTGCAACGGCCGACTTTATCCTCACTCAGGACTTTCCTGGTAATCTCTCCCGGAACGGAAGAAGACACGACAATGACCATGCCGACATCAAGGACATCAAGCTGATGCCCACTCACGAGGAGATTATGTCGTCAAGGGAGGAGTATTTACCGACTACAAACCCATATCAGCATCACTTGCAGGGGTTGCGGGGTTTCCTGGATCGGCAGTTTCGCTTATTGCGTGAAGACACCTTGCATGATCTTCGTGAAGCAATACGAACCAGCATCAAGACAAACAGCAAAGTTCGTGAGGTGCGCACGAGGGTCGTCATTTACGAACAAGCTACCCCTGTGGAGGTTTGTTTCGAAGAGTGGTCAGGACTCGAGTTCATCGTCAGGTTTGACCAACCACGTGCTGCAAGGGTGTTGGAAAAAGCAGATAGAGCAGCTTGGTGGATGCACAACAAGAGGTTGGTGGATGGCGCCTTGGTCTGTATCCTCGATGAGGCTGGCAGTGTTCTGTTTTTCCAGGTCTCCAGGTCTACCAACAGGACAACACGGAACCACGACTTGCACGGTCAACAGGACGAAAATGACGAACAAGAGCCATACTACAGCCTACCCGAGGATCGCCAACACGCCTTCGTGTACCTCAGGCTCGTGGAAACCGACACCGACAGCGTCAAAGCGTCCCTCTTATGGTTCAAGACTGGAGTTACTGGTCAACGCCGGCTTCTTTTCGAATTCCCTTCAATTCTCTTACCCGCCTTCGCACCCCCATTGAAGGCCTTACAGAAAATGTCGCAGAATCTCGATTTACCCTTCCAGGACCTTCTGCTTATGCATGGAAGAGATAACGCTGTTGATATTCCACCTCCTCTCTACTCCCGGCGTTCTGGTTTTTCATTTGACTTGAGTTGTGTATGCAATGATGGGACTGATATCTCGTTCACACCCGGCGAAACACTTGAGCCGAGTGAGTTGAGCCGACATTCTTCTCTGGACTTTACTCAGTCTAAGGCCATTCTCAATTCACTCGGCCGATCGTTTGCATTGATTCAAGGCCCCCCTGGCACAGGCAAGAGCTACACTGGAGAGGCTCTCATCAAGGTGTTGCTCGCCAACAAGTCCAAAGCCAAATTGGGACCGATAATTTGTGTCTGCTACACAAACCATGCCTTGGATCAGTTGCTGGAGCATTTGATTGACGGGAAGGTCCAAAACATCATTCGAATCGGATCTAGATCCAAGTCAGACAGACTTCAGAGTGTCAATTTGAGAGAGGTCGTGAAGGGCATCACCCGTACGGCAGCTGAAGTCGGCGCATTCTACGATACCAGAGAGGATCTCCATACAGAAACAATGGAGGTCGTTGATGAACTAAAGAATTATCAGCAGATCAACGTTGATAGACAGATCAAGGTCTTTCTCGCAGGAAACCATCGAGATCACTACGAGGAGCTGTTCGGGCAGCTTCAAATTCCACATGAAGTCGACGAAGGCTATGAAGTGGTGAATTACAATCGGAAGAACAGCCTTTCGAGGTGGTTGCATGGCGGCTGGAACATCAACACGCCCGATCGCCCTCTCAGTGCCCTTTATGAAGGAAGATTGTCTGAAATGAACCACCGAGAGCGCACTCTCATTTATCGGGACTGGGCGCGGCAAGCTCTCGACAGTGACCTGGACGTGCTGTCTGAGTTGCACGATGTATACGACAAAGGACGGCAGCGCAGCGACCGCGTCAGAAGCGCCACCGAACTACGATGCCTCCAGCAGGCTAACATTATCGGCGTTACTACGACTGGGCTTGCAAGAAATCTTGACCTTCTTCGGCGGGTGCAAAGCAAGGTCCTGTTGTGCGAAGAGGCGGGCGAGGTTCTCGAGGCACACCTAGTCACTGCCCTCCTCCCGACGATAGAGCATGCAGTCTTGATCGGGGATCACCTTCAACTACGTCCGCAGATTAAGGATTGGAGGCTACAACGGGCCAATCCAGCCGGGGTCAAGTACTCCCTCGACGTGTCCCTTTTTGAAAGGCTTGTTCATCCCACCACGCCGAACACCCCGGGCCTTCCTTTCAGCGTTCTCGATACGCAGAGACGCATGCATCCCTCAATCTCAGAGCTGGTTCAATCCACTTACCCATCTTTAGAGAACTCACCCACTGTGTTGGATTATCCTGAAGTTTGTGGTATTTCCAAGAGGCTGTTTTGGCTTCACCACGAATGCCCCGAAGGTGGCCGAAAGTATGACTCGGAGTTGATTGAAACTTCATACGCCAATGATTTTGAGGTCCAAATGGCTTGTGGGCTCGTCTCACATTTGCTCAAGCAAGGTGTCTACAAGACTGGGACAATTTCAGTCTTGACGCCCTACCTGGGACAGCTGAACAAGCTACGACAGGAGCTTGGCTCTAGCATGCAAATCGTCGTCAACGAACGTGATCTGGACGATCTTGCCAACATCAACTCATCGGACCCCACTGCACAAGTCGCCCAGACGATGAGCGCAGCCAAGTCATCCATGCTGAACGGGGTACGGGTCGCTACCGTGGACAACTTTCAGGGTGAAGAGGCTGATGTCGTGGTTGTTTCTCTCGTTCGAAGCAACAACGAGAGAAGATGCGGGTTCCTCAGCACCTCCAACCGCATAAACGTTCTCCTGTCTCGAGCACGGCATGGTATGTACATAATTGGCAACGCTCACACTGCGTCATCCGTGGCTATGTGGGATGAGGTCATTACCAAACTTCGGCAAAACGGCAACTTTGGCAAAGAACTCGAATTGCAGTGCTCAAGACACCCAAGCAACAAGGGAATGGTGTCCCACCCGGAGCACTTCGTCAAGTTTTCTCCCGATGGGGGCTGCCAGCTCCGGTGCGACCGCAGGCTGGGCTGCGGGCACTCGTGTACTGGGCCATGCCATGCCGACCACCTACACAACGCCATCAAGTGCCTTGAAGATTGCGCCCGACCAAAAGAGCACTGCGATCATCCTTGCCGCAAGCGTTGTGGCGAACCTTGCGACAAGGCCTGCTTGGAGATTCTTAATGGGCTTGGGCTCGAGCTTCCATGCGGTCATACCATCGACACAATCGAGTGCTGGAAAGCACAGAATCCCGAGTCCATCAGATGCTCTGTCATAGTTGAGAAGACTGTCCCTGGATGCGGGCATACACCGAAAGTGGCTTGTCATGTTGATGTGGCCGCATCAACCTACTTATGCAGCTCCAAATGCGCTGACGTCCTATCTTGCGGGCATGAGTGCAACAGAAGATGTTCCGCCTGTCGGGAAAGAGTGAACGGCGAAGTCATCAAAGAGAACCACAGGGAGTGTCAGCAACTCTGCGAGAAGCAGTTCACAACATGCAGTCATCGGTGCCGCTCGACTTGTCACTATGGAAAAGCGTGTCCGCCTTGCACCTCGCCATGCGAGAATCGGTGCTCTCATTCGAAGTGTGGCAAACCATGCAACGAACCCTGCCCCCCTTGCGCAGAGGAGACATGCGCCTCCTGTTGCCCGCACTCCCAGTGCAATATGCCGTAAGTTGAGATGGACCAAAAGCTTTTGCAATGGCTAAGAGAAAAACAGATGTGCTGCACCATGTGACTGGGTACCATGTTCAAGGAGATGCACCAAAGAACTTCCATGTGGTCATCAATGTAAGTCCGACACGCCTTCTATGGCCAATAGATACAAGTCGCTGACTGTAACAAGGCCCGTCTGTATGTGGAGAAGTTTGTCCCGACGAGAGGTACTGCCAGGAGTGCGCATCGGATGAGATCAAGACGAGAGTTGTTGATCTCGTCATCATGGACGACTACTGTGCAGTAGACCTTGATGAGGACCCCTGCATCTTCCCTGACTGCGGCCACTTCTGGACCTCTTCGACAATGGATGGGCAAATGGGCCTCAGCGACTTTTACGGAATTTCCGACGAAGGAATTCCGGTCGCCCTCAAAGGCGGCTCGCAGCCATTCACGGTCACTAACATCAAAGCATGCCCCGACTGTCGCGGGTCTCTGAGAAACATGTCTCGATATGGAAGGATCGTCCGTCGCGGAATTCTCGACGAGTCAACGAAGAAATTCATCGATTGGTCGAATAGAAGGTGGAAGGAGCTATCTGAAGCGTTTCTCGCCGCGCAGGAGAGACTACAATCGAAAGATCTAACGCATTTCTCTTTCCCCGTTTCCCGCGAGCAGGGATACGACTTGAGGGGTCCGCGACAAGAACAAATCGATCAGGTGTTCAAACTCACTTCAGGTGCCCGACACCTAGAGATCAAAATGATACGGCGGCAAATCCTGCTCTTCCTCGAACAGGTCAAGAAGGATGAGCAACCATATCAGCGAGTGGCAAACTTGGTCCGACATGTCAACAACCGCCGAAGAGAGACTGGCAATTTCTGCTTCGACGAGTCTGTGATCCAACTGGGGAGCCTTCTCCAAGCAACAACTCTCCTTTTACGGTGCGATCTGCTGATCATTTCCGACTACCTCAGCCTTTGCCGCAAGTCCAAAGGCGGCACCGCCAGCTCTGTCAAGGTCGACCCGATTCCTTACATCAAAGACTGTTTCGAAGTCATCAAAACCGCATCCTCCAAGGTTTTGGTACGCCAAGAGATAGAGGCGCGCATCTTTGTCGGCATGTTCTCCTCATTCATCCCTCCACCGACTAGATTGGAAACAGAAGAAGACAAAGGTGAAGAAGACGGCAGGCTCAAGAGCCTCAAGGCAAAACAAAAGATCCGCCAGATTGGAATGAAATATCTCGAGGTTGCTCAAGAGCAGATACGCGATAACCCGTCAGTCTCAGCGCTGCAAAGCGAGTATGAGACGGCATGGCGCATGCTGCATGATGGGGTATTCTACAGCGATGTTTCAAACGATGAACTGCGATCAGTTTACAAGGCCATGTCCAAAGAGTTTGGAGGGACAGGCCACTGGTACTATTGTGCCAACATGCATCCTTTCACTATTGGGGAATGCGGCATGGCAATGGAGACCGCGAGATGTCCTGAGTGTGGAGAGCCGGTCGGTGGGCAAAGCCATCAGTTCGCCGAGGGAGTCCAGCGTGCCAATGACATTGAGGAGGTCGGAACCGACATGAGCTGAGTGAATCTGGATAGGGCTTTGTAGTTAGGATCTCCACTCTCTGAATAAATTGGCAAGTCTACACTATCATCCTTGCACACATTTATTCTTCTTTCTGAACGGGGGGTTGACTACGAGAATGTTTGTGTATCACTAGAAGAGACACTAGAAAGTTGATGTCTTGTTGCATGTAAGACGGTCTTCAATTGGAAAAGTCACTCCCTGCGACTAAGTATAGACCTCCGAATACGAGTACTAAAACCCTCCACGTGCTGGATTTGTGGCTTGTATTTAAATCGTGCGCAACTGTAGGAAGTTATAGGTCTTATGTTAATGGATGTTGTTGGGCTTCTTGATAGATTCTGCTGACTCCCCAGTTAATTGCGTTAAGTACTGATACAGACGAATGCAGCCATTCTTGATAGGAATATCACCTCTGAGACTGAAGGGAATCGAGTAATATTGCTGAGAAAAACATAACTTTCCATAGAATGTAGAGCGTAGCTAATGTTCATCTTTCAGTCTGAAGACTTTCTGGATAACCTTTTATGAAACTATCTTAAGATACTAATACTGAAATGGTTATAGGCCTAGCGGCTAAGAGCTATGCGACGTAGCGGTATATATATACCTAAGGGTACGTAGAGCTACTATAGCTATATAACTCTATAGTTTTAAAGCCTACGATTTTAAAAGAAAAAGGAAAGAACTTCTTATTTACTTTATAGATCTAAAATAAAAAGAATAAGATTAAAAACTTAAAAATCTACTAAAAAATAAGTAAATTCTACTTCTAATCTATAAGGATTAGTAATAATATCTAAACTAATTTCTTACCTCTTAAAAAGGGCTAGTAATCTAATCTCTAAATACTAAAAATACTAAAAAATTTAGTAAATTTATTAAACTTTATTCTAATTATTTCTAATTATCTTTTCTTTAGTCTTTTAAACTAAAAGATAATTCCCTATATATTTATATATATATAAGAGTACTATATTTACTAATAGAACTTATAATAAGTATTTCTATAATTTTAAACTTTTTTTATTTCTCTTATATAAGTAATATCCTATTTAAACTTTAGTTTATAATATACCTATCTTTATTATCCTCTTAGCTTTAAAAGTCTATAAGTATAAATCTTAAATAATATATAAACTTCTATTTAAACCTAAAAGTTAATATATTAATTAATATATATTACTTAATTAATTACTATTAGCTTTAGAATAAACTATTTAGGAGGGTAAGTAGAATAGTTATTTATAGTTATAAAGCTTTAAATAGGAACTAAAGATTTATATAATAATAAAATAGGATTTTTATAGCTAAGAGTTATAAATATAGGCTTATTATAATTATTATACCCCTCTAGGATTAGAAAGCTAGAAGCTAAGCTTTCTAATAAGGATAAAATAGTAATTAGAAGCTAAATTAGTATTATAAGTTCTTAAGGTGAGTTTATTAATAGAAGTAGACTAGGGGGTTACTTTAGGGATAATTATATAGTTCCTTTCTTAGCTATTTTATTTAAGTAAGTTATTACTATCTATATTATAAAATAGAGTAAGAGGTTTTTATAAATTAAATTATATCTATAAAACTTAGTAGTAATTTATAATTTATACTTACTAACTAGAAATAAAGAGCTTTAGTAATAAAAGTTCTTATTAGTAGTAATATTATTACTAAAATAGATATTAAGGAATCTTTTTATAATAAAGTAATAAACTTAATTAATATAGTAAATTTTATAGCTATAACTATTAAACTACTATACTAAATTAACTACTTAAATATATTATAGTAGGATAGTAATAAGGTCCTTAAATACTTTAAGTAGCTTATACTAAATAGTAAAGGCTTTAATAATATTAATAAACTCTTAGTTATTTTACTAATTAAAATTTAAATTTATAAAGTAGCTCTTCTTATTAGTTTAGTTTACTACTAAGTAGATAAAGTAGTTTTATTTAATTTATAAAAAATATATAATTATATTAGAATTCTATAAGTTATTTTTATACTTATTTATAAAGAGGTTTATATTAATAGCTTCCTCTTCTTTTTAGTTAGTATTTTATAATATAGTATTTAGTAAGTAAATCTAGACTTTATAGTAGGTATCTCTTATAATAAAATATACTAATATAGTGAGATATTTAATTTAGAAGAAGTTTTTTATATAGAGGATATTTTAGGTATTATATAGATTAATTAGTATTTTAAGTAATATAATAGGGGTTTAGCTAGCTTATTTTCTAAAATTATTAAAGCTAGTAGTAAATTAGGTTTATAAAGAACTCTTTAAGCTAAGATTTAAATTATTATAGTATTTTATAGTTTAATAAGATCTAACTTCTTTAAGCTATAAAGTTTTAGTAAAGCTATAAGGGTATATAAACTTATTTTAAGTAGTTCTAAAAATAAATTAGGTCTATAAAGGGGTACTTTTAGTAAGGTAAGGTAACTAGTATATTATTCTTATTCTTTTAAACTACTATAAAAGGTATCTTATATAGGATATAATTATATTCTATCCTCTTATTACTTTAAGCTTAATAATAACTATCTCTTTTATATTTTAGACTTAAATAGTATAACTACTTCTAGGGGGTTTATTTATTAGTATAAACCTACTATTTAGTACTAATAGAGTTAGCTATTCCTTACTTAGTAAGTTTAAAGGTTTCTTTTTATTATTATATTTTAAGTATTTATTATATAGTTTCTTATATTTTATAATAGCTTCTAAGGTAGGTAGATTAATTAGTTTTTATAATAGCTTTAACTTATTTATAAGCTATTAAAGTCTAAATCTTTAGTATTTAAAACTTTATAAAACTTTATTAAATTTAGCTATAATATATTAAACTTAGTTTATTAATATATCTTAAACTACTCTATTTAAACTACTAAAGTTACTAAAGTTATTAAAGTACTTAAAGTAATTAAGTATAATTACTTTAGAGTATTATATAGAGTTAATTTATAGAATATCTAAAATAGTAAGCTATTAGAATAAAGCTTATTAAGAGTATAGTAAGAAGCTAATAAAGAAGTACTTAATATTTCTAAAAATTATAATAAGTTTATTTTTAGTTTCTCTATCTTCTTAGTAGTTATTATATATAAATATCTATCTTATTAAAGTATTTAGTAGTATTTTAGCTTATATTTAGTTTATTTTATTAAATAGTATTATAAAGTGTTTAGTAAAAAGGATAAAATAGTATTATTATATATTTTTAACTATAAAGTAGTTTATTAATAAGGAGCCTCTAAATAAGTTTAAAGTTAGTTTAACTCTCTAATTAATATAATATATAGCTATAGTAAAGCCTCTTATAATATTATTACTATTTAGTGTAGTAGTAGTGAGAATAATACTTTAGAGGTTATAGGTATTTATAATACTTTTAAGTATCTTTAAATCTAACTATAGGTATCTTAAATAGATTATTATTAATTTTTATTTATTAAGGAGGTACTATTATAACTTAATATCTCTTAGTTATAGCTATATAAGTATTAGGATTAGTTTTTTATTAAAGGGGGAGGAAGTATTATTAAAGTATATAAGCTTTAGCTAAATAGTAGTTCTATTAATATATTTAAGTAACTTATCTCTCTTATAGTTAACTTAGAAGTATAATTAGATTAAGGTCTTAGAGGTCTATTTAGATTAAATAAGTTACTTAACTATATAAGTTTTAATAAAACCTTTAGTAAAAGCTTTTTCTTAGATAGATATTATATTAACTAAGTTAAATAAAGGTAAAAATATAATAGTTCTTAAGAAAGGTATAGTATATACTTTATAGATATAATTAGTTATAGTATAATATATAGGTAATAAAATAAAGAAAAAGAGGGGGGGAGAGTAGTATTAATATAATATATAGAGGGTATATTAGAAAATAGAGAAAATAAGGGTAATTAGTATAATAGTTACTTAGTAATAATTTATAGATATAAATAGTAGTTATATAGTTATTTACTTAAAGTTTATAAATAAAGGTTATAGGTAAAATAGTAGTAATTTATAAATATAGGTAGGTAGCTATAATTACTTATTTTATTAAAAATAAGATAAAAAATAGCTATTAAAGTAAATTAAAACTTAAAGTAAGAAGGTAAGTATAATTATTATTAAATTAGTAGCTTTAATTACTTTATTTACTTATCTATTTATATCCCCTTTATAAGCTATTAAAGTAGTATTTCTTTCTTTTATTAATAACTTATCTATATTATCCCCTAAATAAATAATTATTATACTTTAAGTCTATAAAACTTATATTCTTATTAACTAATAAGTTTTTAGTACTTTTCTTTATTATAGTTAAAGATATTAACTAGCCTTAAGAGTAATACTTTTTAGCTTATTATAAGTTTTAGCTACTAACTAATTCTAAGAAGTAACTAACTAATATAGAATTTAACTTTCTTTTTTATATTATATTAAATAACTTAAGTTTAATTATAGGTTCTTATTATATATCCTTATTATCTCTAGCTATTTAACTAATAAGTTTTTTTATAGTTTTTTATAAACTTTATTTAGTATAAACTTAAACTTCTATAACTTTATAATATATATTATAAAGTAGACTTTAGCTTATTTATACCCTCTATACTTATAAAATAGGTTATAAAATAATTTTAGTAAAATATAATAAGTATAAAGTATTTATTATATATAGTTAGCTACTTAGGTATCTCTTTTAACTTCCTTTATAGGTAGGTATTTATTATAAGTAGCTTTATAACTTCCTATAAACTTTAGGTAACTAAAGTTCTTAATCCTAATTATTTAGTAGTATTTTATAACTTCTTTATTTAAACTTTTAGAAGTTATAATACTATCCTCTATAATTACTATAAAGCTTATATTTACTCCCTTAGGGATAATTTAACTAGTACTTAGGTCTATAAACTATATTTTAAATATATTTTAATACTTAGTAAACTTTATATAAACTATATTTATTATTAGGATATTTTAAAAGAGTATT